TGAACTAACCCAGAGGCTCCACAGGACAAAAGATCTGGCAATCTGCTCCCATAAAGATTACAGCCTAGGAAATCCTATGGTGCAGTTCTGCTCTGTCACGTGGGGTCGCCATGAGTCAAAATTCAACTGGAGGAACACAACGACAAAAACAACATATAATTATCGAGTGCTGAAAATAGTACAGTGAAACCAGTAAGAGCGGGAACTCAATGGGACTGCCTTGTTTTTCCAGGTATCGCAAGTTTTCCACCTTTGAGCGGGTGCTGTCTTACTACTTTTTCTATCGCTCTCTATTAGTGGAAACTATGTGAGTTTTCCTTTTCCAAGAGGTGTCTGCCTTACACAGCTTCCAGCTTTTACAAGTTTTACTCTACCTATTTCCATGCATGGTATCATTTCCCCCTTAAGACAACCCAATACACTGTATTGAACATTGAAGGCATTTGAGGGTAGTGAACGCCCTGGGCCAGGGTCTTGCTTCCTGGTGTCATCTGATGGGGGGGGGGGCCCAGCCATTAGTACTTCCCAATGGCCTGCCCCTAAGGTTGTATGGAACTGGTTGAATTTTTCTTTTCTCTTACTATGTGTACATTTGTCCTATATAAAAGAAAAAAATACAAATTCTGAAGAATGATCCCCCATCTTGGATTTGGGCACCAGTCATGGAGTGCCCCTGACCAAGGCCATTGTCACACGTATAAAATGGATGTGGGGTTAAATGAGTGAGCTGAGACAAGAAGGCCATGGACCTGGATGACAGCTGGACCAGGCTGCCCACACGGGAGGATTATTCTATTTTAGCCACAAATGCCTCAGCTCCTAATAGCAGGGACCATGGCCGATTCATCTGTGTAAGTGCAGCACCCAGCAACCACCCCAACAATTATTTGAAACAGCTGTGTGATGCTGGACCATATCCTCCCCCTTTCTGGAAATCAGCATCCCCATCTGCTGAACTAGGCAGGAGCCTCGCATGGGTGGCTTCGTGAGCCACACTACACCCCAGATGTGCTTGGTTTGCCCAACACTGTTTTAAAGAAAATTCTTTTTTTTGCATTTTTGAAGGCCTGTCTCTACAGTTAGCCACAAGCCCCACTAGCCCTTACTGTCTTACATTCAGCTGCTTCCCCCATTACCTGCCTGGGTCCTCATATCCTAGTCTGTGAAATGGGGATATTAACACCTGTCTTCTAGTGTCGTTGAGATAGGCATGCCAAGTGTGTAACCCAATGCCTCTCTCTACACATGGAACAAAGAGAATGCTGGCTTTATTTGTTCCTCCTGTAATGAGACACTGAGGTAGACAGGAAAAGGCAGAAATCCAGAGGCTTGGAGTCTGGTGGCCCATGGCCCATGGCTTACTCCCTGTGTGGCCTTGGTACCGTCTCTAGGCCTCAGTTTCCCTGTCTGATTATTCCACAGGGATGATCATTTATGAAGCCAGCAAACATGGCTGCTAAGAGATCCTCATCAAGGTGAAACTGGAGTGTAGAGATAAAGCCCTCCACAAATATGAGACCTTGAAAGTCTGGGGATACCTGAATTGCCACTGCAGCTGGAGCCCATGTTTCTTCATGAAGCCACATGGATAAGCATCTTGTCCTACATGTGAACCACACTCTAAATTCACATCCACTGTGGTCTTCATCTTCCCCACAACCATGGGAGGGACGCAGGATAGGGAAGACAGGATCTGCGTTTTGCAGAAGGGAAACCAAGTGTCTAAAAGGATGACGTAGCCACCGGGGGGCCGCCGAGGCAGCACCTGACACTTGATCGTTCTAGCATCCGTTTTTCTGTTTCAGTTTTTCATCCAAAAATTCCCCCCACACACAAAAAGATAAAATACTTAGGAATAAATCTAACCAGAGATGTAAAAGATCTTTACAGAGAAAACGACAAGACACTACTGCAAGAAACTAAAAGAGACCCGCGTAAGTGGAAAAATAGACCTTGCTCATGGACAGGTGGACTCAACATAGTGAAAATGTCAATTCTACCCAAAGCAATCTACAGATACAATGCAATCCCGATACAAATTCCAGCAGCGTTTTTAAATGAGATAGAGAAACAAATCACCAACTTCATATGGAAAGGAAAGAGGCCCGGGATAAATAAAGCACTACTCAAGAAGAAGAACCAAGTGGGAGGCCTTACACTACCTGATTTTAGGACCTATTATACTGCCACGGTAGTCAAGACAGCCTGGTACTGGTACAGTAACAGATACACAGACCAATGGAACAGAGTTGAGAATCCAGATATAAACTCATCCACCTATGAGCAGCTAATATTTGACAAAGGCCCAAAGTCCATTAATTGGGGAAAAGACAGTCTCTTTAACAAATGGTGCGGGCATAATTGGATATCTATATGCA